TTCTATTAGATTTTTAAAATATACATATGAAATTTTATAGTCTTTTATTCCTAATTTATATTTTTAATTTTTACTTTATTTTTTCACACTATTAATACATATATTTAGCATCCTATGGAGATAATTCTAAGAAGTAACATATTTGTGGTCTTGTTTCTACCATTTTTTTTTTGTTTTTGTTTTTACATGACTCTCATCGATGCCTTTTTTCCTATTCATAAGTTAGAGCTGCTTATTTTACCCAAAATTTTATATATGAGAATTATTTCAGCCCTGGGTTGAAATAATTTTACTTTAGCAAAAGTTTTCATTTGTTATTTCAGACCTCGGGGATCACCACCACACCTGGAAAATGTTAAAGTCTTGGCTTGCTATTTTGTATGACATAGTGACATAGATTTAGATTGTAAATTCATATGAGGTTCAGCTTGTGGTTAGGGATTCTTGGGAAGGTTTTATTTGTTTTTTCTTAACCACGTGCAAAATTCAAAACCAGCAAGTTTGCTTGTTATCTTCTTTTTTGTGGCATGATTATTTCTTTTGTGGCTCTATATTTATGTGAAAGTTTCCGTCCTCTATGTTCTGTACATCTTTCACAAAAGAATCTCATCATTTTCAGAATTTGGCAGACACCCTAGGATGTAATCAAATGTTGGTGCTGGATTATCTACTAGGTTCTGCTTTCACTTTTTTTTTTTGGCCTTTCTGAAATGTTTCCTTTTGTTTCAATACACCAGTACATTAGACATTTTAAAAATTATCTTATTAATCATTATGATTGTTTCTTCTATACAGGAAAACATTAAAATTTCTCAAGAAGTATTTTTTATTCCATTGATTTTACTCTGTTGTTAAGTCTCCTAGTTTGCTTCATTTTATTTCCTTCTCATTAGTTGGCCATGGGAGTTGAACATAGTTTTATGAATTTTTACTAAGAAGGCATTTGAGATGCACAAACTATAACCATTTTTCTTTTATAGCATATTGTAGATTTTATGGTTAAATAAAACCAACCTTATACTGTGGATTTTATAGCTGAGCACCTATTTAGAGTGAAATATTTGGACACAAATGGAATTTACTTTGTGTTCTTAAAATTTATTGCTTATGCACATTCACGTATTCAACCAATTGTGTTATTATTTATGATACAGTCTTAAGTTAACTTTTATGGGAGGATCTACTATATTACCAAAATATTGTATGTAAAGAAGTAATAACACTACGCATCACTATTCAGATTCATTTTCACAACAATTTAATTTTTTATATTGTTCAACTGTGTATATTTAAAAAACTTCATTTGTGGAAACAGCCTCAGAAAAATTTTTCAAGCTCCCTTCTGCCATTATTTTTAGGTTTTCAGTATTTACTTCAAATCTCAAACTTTTCAACTTTTTTCAGCTAAAACATGACCATTTCTGCTTGTTCATTCAATTTGCATATATAGATGATCAAATTTCTACAGTTAACTTATACAGGGAATAAAATATATTTTGCTATTTATAGCACGGACTTTTCTCCAACTTACCATTATTTGGGTTTTAGAAGAGTTTAGAAGAGTTTGGACTTCAGAATTACTTGCAAATTTTTATTTGTCTTTATTTTTTTCACACATGATCACATATTTAATCTACCTGAGCACCAATTAACTAAAACGATCCTATTTCAGTGACCCGTACAAATTTTTCGATTAAATCTTATAGCTTTTACCTAGATATAAATTCTTTTAAAAATACTATGTTGACTAGTTCTATATTTTTAATTATTGTTACTATTTTAGTGATACACAAAGAAGCTAAGATGAAGATATCTGCGAGGGAAAAGTATAGGAAATATTGAAAGGGTTTTAAAAGTGAATCTTTTGTGGAAATATTCTGCCTTTGTAAATATTTCTGGAGTCTCACTCATTTAGTAGTCAGTTTTGAAATTGTTGTATTGCTTCTATTAACATTCCATGCTTCTTGTATTCATATGGTGGATTACCAAAGTCAAGTAGGCAGGCAAAATCTCCATGTAGCTGTCAAAATGACTTATGCAGATTTCAAATATACACAGACATTTAGGATAAGATCCAAATGACTTTGCATGGCTTATAAAACTCTGCATACTCTGCCCACTACACACCTTTCTAACCTTGTCCCTTAGCACTCTTTTTTGGCTCACTGGGTATGGGCCATACTGGCCTTTTCCTAGACACTGAAAAAGCCAATTCCATTTGCACTTTAGGTTCTTTGAACTTGTTGTCTATCCTCTCTTAGTGAAATACTCAGCTCTATCTTCTTATTCAGGTCTCACCTTAAATGTTGCCTCCCTAAGGAGTCCCTCGATTCTCCATTCTAAATTACCTGCCATCCTCTTTCACATTTTCCTGTTTTTTTTTTTTTTTTTTTTTTTTCCCCACAGAACTTATAAATACCTGAAGTTATCTTGTTTTCCCTGCTAAGATATAGTTTCCATGAGAACAGGGAATTGTCTGCCTTATTAACTTCAATGTACCTAGTAGGTAACCGTAAGCCAGGCACAGCATAGTGCCCTTATGTTAAATAAATCAGTAAATAAAACTAAATAGTGGAAGTCTCCTTCAAAATAATATGTTTGTCACTGTAATAATGTGCAATATTTTTTAGCCCTCGAAAGCTTTTATAGCATCTTCACATACTTTATGTCATTGATTTCAATCTTGTGAAAACCATTCTAATTATCCTTTGAGTGTAATAATGTCTTTATATACAAGCAGCCTGATGATCTGACTTTTAATTTATCTTACACAAACATTACGATGAGAACGTTCCTAGTCAATAGAGTTCATATCATCTTCTGTAAATACCTTTGTTGGAAATAAACATGTGTGAGGAAGCAGTTACCATGGTAAACTTAAATTTTCAATAATGCAAGCAAATTTCCTTTCTAAAAGTCAAAAATAAATGTCAGAACTGGTTTTTACAGTTGCAGGGTTTTTTATTTTTCATGTTTATTTCTACAAAATATTTTGTTCATTATAAATATATTTCTTCTTCCGGAATTGGTCACATCTCTCAGTGGCACTTGACAAAAAGTTTGTTTAAACTTCTTGAATTTATCTGGTTCTATAAAGATATGTTTACCACTAATGTCAAGTCCTGAAATGAAAACGTGAAATAATTCCAGAGTGCAGTAAAGCTTGAACACTAACAAAATTAACATCAGAAATATCTTGTTTGCTTTTTTTGTAAAAGTGATGTATCATTTAGCTTTTGCTGTACAACAAAACACCTATAATAATAGTGGTTTAAGCAACAATGCCTTATTGCAATATTCTGGGTTGGCAATTTTGGTCTCTGGGCTCACTAACAGTCAGCTAGCAGATTGGATGGAGACGGGATGGCCTCTCTCTCACTTCTCTTGCTGTTGATTGAATGATGGGGGCAACTGGACCCTGTGTCTCTAGCATCTGGTGTAGCAGCCCAACAAGTTCTCCTTGATTGCTGCCCAGATATAGCCCATCTATCAAGACAGGAGAATTGCAATAGAGAAAGAATTTAATTCATATAGAGCTGGCTGAACAAGAGACCAGAATTTTATTATTCAAATAAGTCTCTGATAATTCAGAGACTGGGGCGGGTATAAAGCCAAAGAGTGTGTAGTGCCCATTGGTCAGGTTAGAGATGAAATCATAGGGGGGTCCAAGTGGATTTTTCTTGCTGTCTTCTGTTCTGAGTGGGATCACAGAATTGGTTGAGCCAGATTACCAGTCTGGGTGGTGGCAGCTGGTGCATCAGAGTGCAGGGTCTGAAAAATACCTTGAGCACCAATCTTAGGTTTTACAATAGTGATTTTACCTCTAGGAGCAATTTTGTAGGTTGAGAATTCTGTGGCCTCTGAATGTATGACTACTAAACCATAATTTCTAATGTCGTTCTAATTTGTTAGTCCTGCAAAGGCAGTCTGCTCCCCAGGTAAGAAGAGGATTTGTTTCTGGAAATGGCTATTATTATTTTTGTTTCAAAATTAAACTATAAACCAAGTTCCTTGCAATGTTAGTTTGGCCTGTGTCCAGGAGTAACAGGAGCGGCTTGGAGGTTAGAAGCAAGATGGAGTTGGTTAGGTCAGGTCTCTTCTCACTGTTAAACGGTGTTTTGTGAAGATGGTTGTTTCCCTGGCAGGCTAACCCAGGCTTCTTCGAATGGTAGCTAAACATAAAAAGCAGCAAGTCCCGTTACATAAGCTCTTATCCACTCTGTTCTGTTGCGTTCACTAACGTCCTGTTAGCCAAAATATGTCACCTGGCCAAAGACGGATACCCAGAGGTAGAGATAAACATTCCACCACGTAGTGGGAGGAGCTGCAAAGCTGCATCGTAGAGGGGTATTTATATAGGAATGGGAAAAATCGATAGTCATTTTTTTTTCATAATTTACTAAAAGGGATTCCTAAAAATCAATTTTTTAGAATTACGATCTCAAGCTGGGAAGTAATTTAAAAGTTTAGTCATTGACTGCTTTTCTATCTTTTTAGCTTGAATTCTCAGTTGAGTAGTCATTCTCACATTTGTTTAAAAATTAAACTATAAACTAAGTTCCTCCCAACATTAGTTTGGCCTATATCCAGGAATAACAGGAGCAACTTGAAGGTTAGAAGCATTTGGAGGTATTGAAACACCCTGTATGATCATTGATGTGTAAATTCCAGCATCCTTTCCTGACCCTATTCTTATTTTTATTTATTTATTTATTTTTTGAGACGGAGTCTTGCTCTGTCGCCAGGCTGGAGTGCAATGGCATGATCTCGCTCACTGCAACCTCCGCCTCCTGGGTTCAAGCGATTCTTCTGCCTCAGCCTCCCAAGTAGCTGGGACTACAGGCACGTGCCACCACACCCGGCTAATTTTTGTATTTTTAGTAGATATGGGGTTTCATCACGGCGAGAATGGTGTCGATCTCTTGACCTCGTGATCCGCCCACCTCGGGCTCCCAAAGTGCTGGGATTATAGGCGTGAGCCACCGCGCCCGGCCACCCTATTCTGATTTAGTGTATTTGGGATAGGGACCAAGATCTTTTCGTAAAAAATGTATCAGTGTGTTTTAATGTAAAAGGTCTAGAAGGACTGTAGTGTTTTTTAAAACAACAAAAATGGCATGCACATGTATGTTTGGACAAGGAGAATGCAGCTATTGAAAGCTTGTTATTTCTTTGAAATTTTATGATTTATTTTTAAAAAAATGGAATCATAATACGTAGTTTTCTTTAACCTGTAGCATAAACTTAAGTTGAAACTCTGGTTTAACCATGTAATAAAATGTCTTTTATGTAAATAAACTTAAATAATATTTTAAAAGTTTGTTAACCTGTGTGTTACAAAATGGCAAAGTACTGCTATAATTGATAATATGCTTTCTATGAAGTCAGAAGTAGCTCTGGTATGAAAGATCTTTCTTATCAATTTTGAACATTGTGGATTTCAGAAAAGAAAGAAGCTGAGATAGAGAAATGGCAAATTAGATATTTTTATTTTAAGGGATATGTATGCTGTGTCTAAATAATCAGGAAAATTATATTTAAGTTTAGCTCTTTTGCCAAATATTTATGTAAAAATTATTGTGTAAATATTTTAATGTATACATTGTACTGGTAATGAGCTTATATTTTCTTTTGTAAAATCTTATTAATATCTGTTTTAATATACATAAACCATCTGCTGGGCAAATAATCTCTACCACTTTACAATCTTTTCATTGTAATCCCATGAAAACTACCAGTGTACCATGGAACAAACCACTAGATGAATATATGGTTAGAAACTAACAAGAAATAAATTTAGGTATAGAAATAATACATTTGTTTTTGGATAATATTATCATTGAGTCCTGGATGACATTTTGGATTAGTACCCTGTGGCTATATCTGCTTGTTGGATTATTGGGTTCAGGCTCTGGATTTGTCCTAATAAAATCCCAGAGGGGAAAAAGGTCTTTCCCTTAGGAAACCTCAAAAAGACTTCTGGAGAACAGCTCTGCCTCTGGAGACTGGTTAATTACACAATTTTATCATCTCATAACAGATTCCTGGTATGCTCTTTGCCATTTAATTTTCTGAAAGCATAATGAAAATGGAAAATATCTGTTCTATTTTATGTCCTGTGAAAACAATATCAGTATTTCTCTTAAACCACATGCAAGGATGCCAAGTAAAAATCCTGATGAATTCATGCATAATCCTGATGCAGAGGCAATGCTTACTTTATTTTGTGGATTGTAGAATGGAAGCAAGATAAGCTGGCAACATCTTCTTTGCACCTGTGTTTTATTTTGTAAACATTAACATTAGAGCCTCATCTTGCTGAATTTGTCACATGTGCTTCTCCTATGGAAAAGCCCTGTAAAAATGTGAGTTAGAAAAGATGTTGTCTTCCAAGGGAAAAGTAGTAGTCATCACTATTTAAGTAAAATTGTCTCATTGTGACACATTATAGGAGGCTAATAAATAATGTATAAAATTTTAAATTTAAATGTTTTAAATATGAGGTTTATTACAATTATAGAACAATGTGGACAACTGATGAGACTTCAAGTACTCATTCATTCATTCATTCATTCATTCATCTAACATCATTATTGACAACCAGGTAATAGTGAGGTTGTGACGATTCACAAGAAAGCCTGAAATTGAGATACTTCCATTTATCTAACCACATATTCCACTCTACAATTAAGAACTTACTCAGCCCAGTAGAACATTTTCGTAATATACATTCTCAGGTTTGCTAATTCTGTGACTAATTTTAAAATTCTATATAATACTAAGCTTCAGCCACTATTTAAAGTTGTAAAATTTTCCTGTTCAATTTAAACTACAGGTAACACTTCTGAAAAGTGATTTGATTTATTTTTAAATGGAATGGCTCTGACTTCTTTTTCCCCAATGAAATGTATCCTCTTTAATGTTATGGTGGAAAAAAAATCAGTGACCTTAAAACTATATTTCATGGGAATCTTTTGTGCCTCAATGACATCTACAGGAGGACGCTTTGGTCTTAAAGTCAGAGATTGGGAACTGAAAGGTGCCTCCATGTTTTGCTTTAAACTCTTGCTTTATAGTCGGTCAAGACACACGAGACAACTGCCAGCAGGTCAGTTTATCTACCTCGGGTATCTAACCACCTGAGTAACAGTGGCTTCTATATATATCATGTAGAAATTAAAGAAGGGTGAATTTTCACTAATTAACAATTGTTAACACTGAGAACTTCATTTTATTATTAGGAGATATAAATTAAAACTGTCTTTTCCTCAAATAGCAATAAGGTACAACAAGGTACTCAGTATGAATTGCATAACACAGCTGAAAATATGTTTCAGTGTCTTCCAAAAATGAATATGCCCGATGTTCAGTTATCAGTGATAAAAGTGTTCGGTTATCAGTTGCATAATGTTTAGTTAAAAACGAAAATTATTTTCAACCTCAGTGGCTCAAAGTAGGATGGCCGTAGAATGTGGAAATCAGGCATTTTCTGATGGTTTCTTTGCATATGAGCCTCCCTATGAGCATGACCCAAATATAGATTAAAGGAAAAAAATTAATGATCATTGAAGCCAACTGAAATGTCAGTGAACTTAGAGAAATCTAATTATGATGCAAATGTGAAATTATCAGCATAGCAAAATAAACAAATCATCCGAACCTTTCTAAAGCCCATTCCAGTTCTAAAATTGCATTAGATTTAGGTCACAACTTGACTTACAAATTAAAATGGTAGAGAAAGATCACAGAATTAATGCACTGTGGTGGTAATTTGTGTATTTTGTTCAGCTGAATTCAGGGACCATAATTTGTATGGTTTTGCATAACTTAAATGCTTCTCCAAATTTGTATACATCCAATTGACTTCTTTTCAAAAAAGTGTTATTTGACTACAGATAAACAAGTTCTGCATGTGGGTCAACAAATATAGGAAATCAAGTTTACAGTACTTCCTGTATGTATGTGAGTGTATGTATGTATATATATCTTATAATCTAGTATCATTTAAAATACTTTATTATACTGTATATTGTTTATTACATAGATATGTGATGTGATTTGACAGAGCAAAAATAAGTTCAAGAAGATACCTAATTTTTTATGATCATTTGATATTTTCTTGGTATGTCTGCCTTATTTTATTTCCTTAACTTTCTAACCCATTCAAACTAACAGAGTGAAACAATTCATTATTTTTAATGAAAATGCTTTTTAAAAAGTACTCAGAGGACATTTAGATAGCTATAGCAATCTTAAATATCTTGCCATTTTCCATCTGGGCATTGCTCCAGTATTTTAAGCCATTAAATTTAATGAATATTTAAGATTAAATCTTGGTTCACTATTTCCCTAAAAGAGACCAATCTCACATTGCACACCAAAAAGAACCGCCTCATAATTTCCTAACAATATGTAAATATCTCTTAAACTTTATAAATTTGAACAAAGGATACATTTGATAGTTTTAGGAGATATTTTCAAAATTAAACCAAATTAAGCCAACTGAACTTTTTGTCTTCACTCTTTCCTTTCCCCCACAGCAGACATAAAGGCAATCACAGAAAGAAGTTAACTTAAAATTCCTTTTTAAAACATAAAAATAATTAAATTATTTCCTCCAGCAGAGCTAATTATCTGAGATTCTGCTTTTCTTTTTTTTTCATTTAATAAACATGTGCTAAGTATCTAGCCACTGCAACTTAAGATGCTGGGTAAATAGTGGGAAATAAAAGTGTACTCCTGGCATTCACCAAACTTAATGTCGATTGCAGGATATAGACAATAAACAGGTAAACAACAAGCATCATGCTACACACGAAGGAAAATAACAAGGTCCTGGAGGGCTAGTCAGGCAAGACAGCTCTGAGGAATTGAAAATCAAGGTGAAGACTGAAGAAATCTGGCTTGCACAGTGTGTGTTGTACAGCTCATGTTGTGAACTGTGTTGGCGGGGAGGGGCGGGGACCTGCCTGTTTCCCTGAACTGAAAGACAGCCAGCATGGCTGCACGCCAGCAGGTAACAAAGAGGGTGGTGACAGATGAAACTCAGAAACGTTCCAAAAGGCTTTGACTTGATTCTAAGTGCAACAGGAAGCCTTTGCAGGGTTTTAACCTCACCTAATGTCAGTGCAAAGAAAATATGTAGTTTTTATTTTTAATTTCCTGGAAAGACTCTAATTGAAACGTTATGAAGAAATTTAGAAATCCGAGTGAGAATTTTGCATGAAATAGCTATGGCTGTAAGTCTGGTGATGATAGAACCACAGAGAAGGCAGTTTCTTTTATTCTGAAAGGGTGAGATGTCTTTTGTATGTTGTAAGCTGTTTGCCTAGCTGCAATGTAAAACTGCTTCCTGGTTCCCTCACTATTTCCCTATTTATAGAATTTAAAAAAATGTTTTGTTTTGTTTTATTAGTCTTACAGAATGAATTATCTTGATGACCTAAATCTTATTTTCATTTTTCAGCATTTTTTTGACTAAAGCTCTGATGAGATAGAAAGTTTCTAAGAGAATCACATTTCTAAAATATTGAGGGGATTTAAAAAACATTTATTCAAGTATTATCTATTGCAGCAGTATCCCACAGAAGTTTCTGTGGTTATGGAAATGTTCTATATCTGTGCTGCATAGTAGCCAACACTCACATGTAGCTGTTGAGCATTTAAAATTTGGCTAGGGTGACTGAAGAGCTGAATTATTAATTTCATTTTCATTTGTTTAAAATCCATACATCACTAGTGGCTACTAAACTGAACAGCTCAGATGTACCGTGTATGTATCAGGGGTTTTCAATTGGAGAAGGCCAGTGGGAAACACAAACACAGCACTTACTCTCTAGAAACATAAAAACACATCAACATGACAAGTATGAACATGCATCTCTGAAGTATAAGGTAGAAAATATGAAGCAGCATTTTGGGTTACCCACAGGGCATTTCAGAACAGGGATTGATGCTTTTTGAGTGAGAAGCTGAGGGGCATATGGTGGAAGAACTGGCAACAGTTCTGGGCCTTGAAGGATGAGCAGGGTTGTTAATTGTGGAATTGGAATGAAGGGCAATAAGAACAAAGGAACCAGCAGAAGAGAGCACAGGGTCAACATTAGAGGCACGAAAATAAGAGCTCACATCTATCAAGCGCATCTATGAAATGTTTTTTCTAAGAGCTTTACATGCACTAATTAATTAATTCTCACAACAGCTTTTAAGGCTAAATGCTATTGTCATGATCCTCAATTTATAGCTAAGGAAACTAAGAGCAGTGAGGTCAAACCCATTGCTCAAGGTCAATTTGGTAGTGACAGAGCCAAGATCTGAACCCAAGCAATTTGCTCCCAGATTGGGCAGCTTTAAAGTGATTTGCTACCTGATTTAAAAGTCAGGCATAGAATATTCCTAAGGAAAGCTTTGGGGTCAACTTACATTTAAAGGGGTGGGGTGTGGATATCACCTGTGATGAGCAAACACAGGTCCTCATAAGAAATCCTTATCAGAGGATGGCAGGAAGATGAGAAAACAGTAAGAGATTTCCCAGTTTCAGGGTTAAAGGGAGAACAAAGGTGGTACTGTGTACTGGGAGAAGGGAGGGAGAGAATGCCATAGAGATGTGAGCAACTGACTCTAAGAAAACTGACTGCAAGTCTAAAGCTCTTTGACTTGGCTTTTGAAGTTCCCCTGGTGATCCTGCGTTATCTTTTTCTTTAGACATTTGATTTGATGGGGTAATGATTTCACTTTTTAAGGTTCTTACCCTTTCTCTTCTTTTTGAGTGTCTCCCTTACAAAGATGAGTTATATTACAGCTTAGTTGTTGAATTCATAATGTTTAATTAAATGTCCATTTTTTTACGAGTTATGTTTAATCCTAGCTAGAAATGGTTAATTTTATCTTGGAGAGCCATTGTGTTTTGTATAACATCATTATGTACAGGATGTTAGGGTACATTTTTTGTGGTGTCCATTCTTCTGGTGATGTCATTATAACTTCTAAACCTGTAGTTGCTTCTGTTACAGTTGCTCTTTTAAATGAGTTCTTAATTCTGACTTTGATTTTGTATAAGGAAAAATGTCCCAGCGTTATCACAAGCAATAGCTTTGATAATAGAAACATTTCAACCATCCCAAAGGACCTGTCTGTGAGATTCACCCTCATTATTAAAATCAAGTCACCTGCCACAAAGATGAAATTGAATTTAAAATTTTTTATTGGTAAATACAGTTAATCTACAATTTGTACATATGGAAAAACCCAATTAGTACCTACAATTGAGAAATATTTCTGGAGATCATACCAGCTGGTAGTCTAGATAGGACAGATGGCCTAAAGCTCTTTAATGGGGAGAAGATAATGTGCTGGCTTGGAGAAATCTGAATAAGAGACTTCATGAACTCTGTTTCTCATTTAAAAAGTTTACTAGAATAATATTTTTACAGGCAGTACTTTTATGAGAATGGAAATTGGCTTTACAAACAGGATAATTTGCATCCAGTTTATATCAAATGATAACAAAAACATAGCGATTTTTTTTCCTATCTTGGTATGTACTTGTAGATGTCAGTCTGCACACCCACAGGAAATAATTATGCTATAAATGTGAAAGCTTGAGGTCTTTTTGCTTTTTTTCCCTTTTATCTTGTTTGAAAGCTCTGTGAACTTCATAACTCTTAGACCTCTAATCATCTTTAGTGATAAGGGTACTAAGAGTGATGATGGTGGTGGTGGTATTGGTAATTATTGATATTGACTAATAGCGGTACCTAACTTACTTTAACATTCTAAGAGTTTTTTCATATGTTATCACATTTTTTCTTCATAACAATCCCTACTGGTACCTTCATTTTACATTATCATTTTCATTTTACATCAGCACACTTGATTCTCACAAAAGATGATTTTTATTCCCTTTTTACAGATGAGACTGGGGCTCACACAGATAGGCAAAGTAACTTTCTTAAGAAGAGCTGGCCAGTTGGTGGTTGAGTTGAGATTCATCAAGGCGGATGGCTTTAGAGTCCACCTTAACTCAGTGTACACGATCCTCATATATAACTTTTAAATGAATTAATAGCAGGCATAATATGTATAATGGTTCTATTGGGTGTCTAGTACTTTTGCTTACTTTACCTGACTCCCAGAAACTCTATAAAGTTGTTGAAAAATGACCTTAAAAAGGAAGATATGATGCCAACGTAACAATCTCACGTTGCCTGGGTAAGATCGTTAAAGCCCAGGCTTACTCCTTAGTTTTATGGAAACAAGTTCCATGTAAATTTTAATTGTCTCTGTCATATCAGGATGTTATATCCTGTGGAACTGAACACTGAGAAAGCCACATCATATACCTGGAGGAAATGTCACCTGCCCTCTTATTCTGAAGGTAGTAATCTGACTTTTGAAGCTTGGTCAAATTCATGTCCCTCCTTTCCTTAGAAGCGTGTGAGTCTGAAAATGGCCCTCTTTAGCCTTTTGCTTTTATGAGACTCAGCCAGTTCCTTTGACACCTAGAAAGTACATCAGTATATTAATCTGCTCTCACCCTGCTGATAAAGACATGCTCAAGACCTGGTAATTTATAAAGGAAAGAGGTTTAATTGACTTACAATTCCACATCTCTGGGGAGGCATCACAATCATGGTGGAAGAGCAAGGGACATCTTACATGGTGGCAGGCAAGAGAGAGCTTGTGCAGGGGAACTACCCTTTGTAAAACCATGAGATCTGGTGAAACTTATTCACTATCACAAGATGAGCATGAGAAAGACCCACCCCTGTGATTCAATTACCTCACACTCCGTCCCTCCCTTGGCATTGGGAATTGTGGCAGCTTCAATTTAAGATGAGATTTGGGTGAAGACACAGCCAAACCATATCAGTCAGATTTCACTAAGGTTTTGGATTAGTATTTTTGCTCAAATATCCCTTTGATTTAGGGTCATAGAAAAGATTAGATTAAAAATATGTAAATTAGAACCTCACGATTCCCAGTCACTAGCAATGTGACCTCAAAGTCCTGACTTATCTTCTTAGAGCCTTGGTTTCCTCATCTGTTAAATAATGATAGAAGAAAAAACTGGCATGACAGAATTTCTCTGGCTATTGCATGAACTGATTCATGTAAAACACTTAACACATTATCTGGATAGGAGACAATGCATTTTGACAGGTAATTTTGGTATCATATTTAATTCAGAGCTGGCACAAATCTAGGACATGAATGATTCTACCTTTATGCAGAAACTGGCAAAAGTGATTCATGCAACTCTTTCAGGGAGCTTTTCTGTTTTTGCAGTAAGTGCTCATCAAATGAAGGATAAATCACAAAGGTCTAAAGGGGAGACTTCCTGCCTCCTATTATACTTTACTGTATTTGATGTGGTAAAGTTTATGCTCTGGTAATATTTTTTACATTTTTGAAATGTATATCATTTATTTTAAAGGGCTTTTTGGTGCAACTGTGTTATTATATTTGCATTTGTTTGCCTGTTTTTCTTGTCTATACTCTTCATTTATTTATGTTTCTTTATGGTTTTCTACTCTTGATAACTGGATCTCTGTCCTCAAATTGCTTTACTTGTGTTACAATTCAAAGTTAGTCACCATTGGGCAAGTTTCTGCAAAGTTTTTATCCAAAATGGTAACAACTTCTTGTTGAAAGATAGGTGATTTTATCTTACCTATATATTTGTTTAGGTGTTGTAAACATTATTAAATAACTTTGTGTTGTTGGTAGCAGGAAAATCTGTGGTAAAAAAATTTTCATTTGTGTTATTAACACTATTTGTTCTTCTTAAAATGCATTTTTTCCACTTTCAACCAGGTAGCTAGGTTCTCACTTTGGAGATTTTGCAAGACAGAAAATAGAAGCTGTTTGATGCTGGAAACTTAAACTCTTGTTTTTTTCTGTAAAAGCTTGGATTTGTTGCAGAGGTGATATGAATTATTCTAAAAAGGGAAAGTAGAGATAAATGAAAGGGACTTTTTTTTTTCTTTCCAGATTGGAAAAATCCAGAGGTTTTCAGTATTACAGGAGTATTGGGAACCTTTGCAGATTATTGCAAAGTCTGCAAAAGTTGGAAGCTGTTAGAAGATGTAGCCTCATGGGGCATCTAAGCAAGCTGGAGTTAGGCACAGTATTTATCCTGAGTATGGCACAGAAGACTGGACCTAGGTACAGGTACAGGAATCCTGTATCCCACATTTAATGTGAAAGCCTGGATCCTGGCCTAGGAATCCCAAGGATTCTGTGTATCCCAAGGATTACACAGAAACATCAGAGTTTCTGGCTGTACATAAGCTTATCCTGGGTGAGACAGCAGGTAAACCAATGACTTTGACCAATAGTCTTACTGAAAAGTAGGAAAAGTACCCAATTCCTTAGCATTGTGTAAGAGCCTGGGATCTTTGTATGATCTTTGTATGTTCTTGTGGCTGATTTTTCTGTCATATGGTGTGATGCTAGAACAGAGTCAAATTTAAACTGGTTTTAAGAAAATAAAGAAATGGACTTAGTTTTTGCAATTTGAGTTTGTGGATTGAGATTCATTTTACTACAGCTTCATGTATGTACAAGTATGATATTTAGCTCAACAACTCTTATGGATCCTGACATTTAATAACTAGCCCAACATCTTGACAGCTGATAGCTCATGGTATTATCTTCTATTGTTTACATTTTAATAGTTTGTCTTGTTTTCCCAGCTATGATATGAGTTTCTGGCATACAGAAATCTTGCATTTACTTTCTGGCATTCTCTGTAATATCTAGGGTATTAATTTAAATATCTGTGTCTGAATTCCCACCATTACATTTGTTCTAGAGGGTATTATAAAAGAGCAGTATTGTTTTTAATGCAATGCTTATTTTCTTAGATTCTCAAAGGATGATGTTAATAATTAATACACTGTTAGTAGTCTGGGTAATAGTATTCATCTTAAGGGAAAAAATTCAGTAATAAAGGGTAATGATAATCTTAAAGTAGCCTCTTTTTGTAGAGCTAGATGCATTAATTTTTATTTTCTTGAAAATAGTTATTGTGGATATACCAATTTGTCTGGTATATGGGATACCTAAAGATATTTTTCTTGAGCCAAATGTGGGAATTTATCCAGCACATGATTACTTATAAGTATTCCAGCTTAACTTTATTCACTGAAGAATTGGTATAGCTCATCAAACAGTAAGGATGTTTGTGGAAACATTTCAGGGCAACCTCCACTATTAACTGCCATTTTGCCTCATTTGCAACCACGACAAGGGCTTTTCCCGAGGTCTTGCCTGCGTTGGTTAAGACATATTTTGCAGCTTTCTTGGAACACTCTTTCATGGGCCTAGTTTAAGTGATGTCAGCATCATGCTAGCTATACCTTCCTCATGTCATGCCACACATTCCTTTTCTTCATCAAATCACACATACTGCATTCATTTAGCCTTACAGGAAGGAAGAGAAAAAAAATATATGCCACTCAGATCTGTCTTTAAGACTGTTTTATCTCTTCTTTCTCCAGCTATTTACTGTTTAAATTCAGTGGTCATATATATGAGTAGCTCCCATCACAACGTGGGTGGAAGGCTAAGCGAATCCTACCCACTTCTCTTGAGTTTTGCTGCAGGTACAGTAGTCCGGAAGTGGGATTATAAGAGGCAAGGTTTTATTGAAAACGCCTGAATAGCATTATATTGTTATGTATTTTATTTCATTAGCTTAGAAGCTTTTTTTAGATCTGAACTGTGACATAATTAAAGTCCAAAATATTCCTTCACTATTCCACCCAAATCCTTACAGAGCACCATGTGCCCTATGGCAAATAATGGCAGAGGGAGTTCATCCAATAACCAGATGTTGGGTTTTACTTTTATCCATCTTTAACCTTGGAAATGGAGGCAGCTTATCTAAGTAGGATTGAATAGCATGTTTGATCTTAGCTTTTTAAAGTATTGTAAATCTGACATGTGTTGCTGTTTACTAAGGAATCCCTGATTCCCTCATTTGTGTTACTTTTGCCACATGTTTTCTAGCCAGAGGGCTCAAGTCAAGCATCTAGTAAATGTCTCTCTGTTTGTTGAAGTGGTACTAACGCCTCCTCTGGCCCTTACATTAAGAGTAAAGTGGGAATGGAATATGTTTGAGCTAAAAAATATTTTCTTGTTAACTGAATAGTTGGTATTAAAAGATAACAAAACCTGTATTTACCTTCCCTACGTTGTGATGAGCACAGCTTTCTGAATTTGTTTACCTCATTCAGACTCTTACTCACTCAAGAGTTTTTTTTGTCTTTGGGGTCTGATATATAAGGGAGTCCATTTCCTCTCTTTGGGAAATATGCTTGCTTTACTATTAGCCAGTCATCTCTAAAAATAGTCCTTCTTCTCATCAAAAATATGTGGGTACTAAGATAAATTTTCTCTGGTTTTTAAGAGGTTTGGCCAAAAAGAAGGTGGGAGGGTTGTGGGGAGGAGGAGCTGATAAAGATTTTGAGGAGAGATCACGCTTCTTGGAGTTGTAATCTCTTACCAGTTTTATGATTTTGTGCTATTTAATATTTCTATGCATTGTCCTTGTTTTATGTACTTGATAGGATAATGAGATCACATAGTAGACATGTGGTGGTAAACGATTCTTTTCTTCTTATCTTCATCCTCCTTTCCTAACAGGCTCAGTGGTATCCATTGGTCTCAGTCCCCTCTTGTTCAGCCTTCATAGTGTCTTCTTCTGTCCACCTGATGACCTAACCCTGTCCACTTGATGATCTAACCCTGACCCTTCCCAATGAATGGTCTAAATGGAGACTCTGGAGACTTTGCTTGTAAAATGTTGCTGCCATTTACCATACCCTCAAAGAATGACACATGTTCTAAACATAGGAGGCAATGACATGATCTTCATGATAATTGGATTAATGCCTTACTTCTTTCTGGGATGTCAATTCTAACCAGGCAGGCCCCTGATCTCATTAATTCCCTTGTGAATCCAAAAAGCTGAATATAATTTTGACCTGCTAGAGATGCTCTACAGATTAAATAAACCTATGACTGAAAGTGCAGATCATTAGAGTAGCATTTGGGGTGTGTAAAGTTCATGAATAAAGTTAAATAACAAAAAGGAATTAAACTTCCTTTGGTTTAAATAAGGAAACTGTAGATGCTGTAAACCTATTAGGTATATGCAAAATAACACAATTAGTTTCTTGTATCATGCACTACACTAGATAACTGCCCAGGAATGCATGATGAAGCCTGGAAAGATTAGATACTTACATTAAAAATGTTTTAGGTGAACCTATGCATATTAGGGTTCTCCAGAGAAATTAATAGTGTATGTGTGTGTTAAATTTAGGCATTATGGGAATTAGACCATGTATTATGGAGGTGGAGAAATTTTACAATCTGCCATCTGCAACCTGAAGAATGGAAGTCCAGTGGTGTAACTCAATTTGAATCAAAGCCCTGAGAGCCAAGGTTGGGGTTAGGGGCCCTGGTGTAAGCCCTTAAGTCTGAAGGCTTGAGAAGTAGGAGCTCTGATGTCCAAGAGCAGGACAAGGTAGATGTTTCAGCTCAAGAGAGAAAGTGAATTTGCCGTTCCTCCACTTTTTTGTCCTCTCCAAGCCGTTAACGGAATGAATAATGCCTTCCCACAGTGGTGAAGGTGAACTTCTTTACAGTCTGTTTACTCAAATGCTAATTTATTCTGGAAACACCTTCACCGACACACCAGAAATAGTGTTTTACCAGCTATCTGGGCATCCCACAGCCCAGTCAAGTTGACACATAAAGTTAATGATCACAAAATGCTTTCAAATCCAGAGCAATTTGTTATAGACTTTATTGCTCTACTGAGAAAACATATATATAATATATTAAATATAATATATATTATATATATAATATATAATATATATGTATGTATTATATTATATATATATATATATTTTTTTTTTGAAATATTTGAGCTGTGAAGCCTGGAATGGTGTGTCAGGATTTCTCCACCTTAGAGAGTTTCTTCTCAGATCCACTCTCTCCTTGAAAGTTCTAGCAGAGCTTTTGTAGCTCCTCTCTTCTAGTGTTGAGTGCAGAGTAGATGAGGGAATCATCCCCAAAATTACAGATTTGGAGCTAATGGAATCATGTTCATCAAAAACAATAAACCAGGACAGAATTCCAACATTTGAATATTATCATTAATGTGTTCCTCACACAGCATTTAAGGCTAGCCATCCATTTCATATACAGTTTACCTTTGAACAGTGTAGGAGTTGGCGGTGCCACTCCCCAATGCAGATGAAAAATCTATACATAAGTTTTGACTCCCCACAAAACTTAACTACTAATAGTCTACTGTTGACTGGAAGCCTTGCAGATGACATAAACAGTGATCAACACATATTCTGTATGTTATGTGTTTTATATACTATATTCTCACAATGAAGTAAGAGAGAAAAAATATTAAGATAATCATAAAAGAATATATATTTACTATTTATTAAGTGGAAGTAGATCATAATAGAGGGCCTCATTCTCACTGATTTCATGCTGCATAGGCTGAGGAGGAGGAAGAATAGCAAGGATTGGTCTTGCTATCCAAGGTATAGCAGAAGAAAAAGGAAATCCACATATAAATGTACCCTTGCAGTTCAAATTTGTGTGTTCAAGGATCAACTGTATTAGCTATCTATGATCTAAGGAAGAAGGGAGACTAAATTAGGTTCCTCTTCCATGTTGGGATGTGACAGTAACAAAACTACACCTCAAGTCCAGAAACCACTGACTGTCATCCCTTCTAGCCTATGAGATACTATATACATATGTCAAAAATATACATTCTGAGTGAAATAATTTTCTTTGTAATTAAATGTATATGTATATGTTAACTTTAGTACAATATTTATTTGTTTATTTATTTAACTTACCAAACACCTTGGCCAGTCATACTCAATTTAAACCTAGGTTTTAGGGAAATATTTATTCCTCCAGTTTTATTCCTAAATTGTGTGTAAAGTTCTGCATGTATATTACTTAGTTACAGAAGCAACATTGAAGCAGGGCTCCAATTCGCTAAATTTGCCCTTGATTGACAATGCATGAGAATCCAAATTTTATTTCAGTAACTCATGGATGCAATTAGTTATATGTATAATGAGGATTAGACAGGTCAGGAATTTTGTCCCATTAAGTGGGCTGCTGAATAATAGAGCATTTTAATTCCAACCGGCCAGTGAAGGAACATTCACACTAATACAGTATTGTCATGACACATTGTTGAATGTTCTCATCAACTTGAAGCCACAGTTTATTAACATGTTTTCTGGGAATAACTCATGTATTGTCAGAACTTGAAGGAATAAGTTGTTGATGAATCAATGAGTAGCCATTAATTTGTGTTAATTATGTAGGTAACCTTAATTGATTGATATGCATGGAAGTTGCCCTAGACTGAGTGACCTCTCATCCTTCTCATGAATTCACAGATTAGAGGCCATGTATTAACACACATGCAATCAGGTAGCTGGTATTGTCCTTCTTGCCGTCTAAATGAAAACTACTAAGATACCCAATCATAGAACTGACCTTGCTTTTCAGCATTCAACA